TAATACAAATTACATTAAAAATTAAATATAAATAAATAAAATTCGTACAATGTAATACAAATATTAATAAATAATATAATTATAAATTAATAAAATAAATATAAATATAAATATAACATATAATATATAATAATATAATGTAATATATAAACTAATATATAGTATAATACATTATTTATGCAAAATGTTGTCTATATATAAGATATTTATATAGATATTAAATATAAATATATTATTATATAATATATATTGTATTGTAAATAGTGAATGGTGGGCCCACGTGTAAAAATAAAAACACAAGAAATATTTTCCCTCCTCAGAAGGTGAAGTTTTGTTTTACCGTGAATTAGACTGTTTAATAGTAAAATGTTTTACAATGGGATCTATTTACATATGCATTACGCATCAGACAAACATATGAAATGCAGTTTTTAAGTGAAAATATTTTCCAAAAAATATTTATATGAAATGCAGTTTTTAAGTGAAAATATTTTTCAAAAAAATATTTATGCACCAACCAAATGCGCCCTTATGGATGTGGGGAGGGAGGAGAGATGGGGGGAGAGAGAAAGTTATGGGTTGTAGATCCTTTTCTTTTGAGATAGAAGAAAGACTCTAAGAGAGAGAGAACCAAAGATAGGGAAAAAGCATCTTAGAAAAAAAAGAGTCCAATAGAAAGAAAGGCTTTTAGAAGAAGACAAAGAGACTTGTAGCCTAAAAGAACTTGAACTTGCCTTTTAGAAGAAAGTTCTACTCCATTATTTTTAGTTGAGTTTTCATCTCTTTCTCATATGGACATAACCTAAAAGAGGAATCACCTAAATCTTAGGTTTAATGAATTATTTGTTTATTTTGTTTTATTGCATGTTTCTCCACTCGTACACATATACATAAGTGTTTCGTGTTTTTGTTCTATGAAAATATATGTACCATTGTGCGCATGGTGTATGAAAATGTTACTGCAGATATTTAAAATGTGACTTCATATCTTCAATATCCAAAATCAAAATGGTGGCAATTTGGTAATAAGAAAAAGAGGAAAAGAGAGCGCTTGTAAAATAGAAAAATTTGGGGGAATTTTTTCAATTTTACTCTTTCTTAAAGTTTCTTCTATTTGTTGTTCGTTAACTTTCGTACTTTAATTCAATATTTTAAAACCTTTTGTTTGATTTTTCTTAAACCCTAGTAGAACATTTATTCTATTCTGTTTAGTTTAATTTTGGTTCTCAAACAATTTACAATCATCACAGATGTTGTGAATGGAGAAATATATTGCATACTCTATTGGTTAAAACCAAGAGAATAATTTGTCAAATACTTAAAGTATAGTCAACTCCTAAAAAATAGCCATCATAAATAATTTTGGGATTGAAAACCACAACGTGGTACCTAGGTACGGTGGTTCGAGGTGCGAGGCGAAAGACGCGAACTACAATATGGATGCGAACTAAAATATGGATGGGTAATGGAGGCATGGTGGAATGGTTTTTAAATATTAAAACAACATTTTTTGATGAATTTTGAGGTGCATCTTTAAATTTGCAACCTCATATAAACTTGATAATGGGGTTGGTGTCATGGTGGTAGCATCACTTGAAGCCTAACTAAAGTTTAGGTTTTCATTCTTACCTAACACATTAAAAATCCACTAACGATTTAAAAAAACCAGTAAGGCCTCCTCATCCCCACTGAAAATTACCCATAAAAGAAAACTAATATAAATTTCTTCCTAAAAATATTGTCTTATTTGGACTGTACATTTCCATTCCAATGTTAGCTCTCCCCTGCACAATTTTTGTAGCTTTAAATTTTAAATTAATTTCCAAAACTTCAAACACTAAACAAACTCAACACAATTTTATCTTAATGTCCTCCACATTGCCTGTATGAAATTTCATGATACATTTTTAAACAAAATTGATCCACTCTCTACCAGACTCTGGACGGCAGGATGGTCAAGACATGAAAGTTAGAAGTCTTCCATTACTAAGCCATGCCATATAATTTCCTATTAAATAAATAATAAAATATCAACAAATCAAAGTCAAACAAAAATATAATCACTTGCATATCTCAAACAAAATCAAATGAGAGCTTCCCCAAGAAGACCTTTCTTTTCCAGTTCATCAGGCCGTCCACCAACCTATACGCACCAGGTGAACGAGTGGAAGGAAGCACAATGGTTGAGATTTCATAAGGCCATATCCAACGGTCAAAAATCAGTCTCATATTCTTTTATTTTTATTTCAATAATATTTTTATCTGAATTTTTGGTTGTAGATGTAGTTTTATAAATATAACTAAATAAAAATGATTAAAAAATTTAAGTAGAAAATAACTAAAATACTCCTAAATTTATTTTATCCATATTTCTTATTGAAAATATTTTTTATTAATTCTAATTACAAAAATGCAGTTATATCCTGAATTCCATAATAATATCACTTATAAATAAAAAATTAAAAATAAAAACTAAAATTCAGTTTTGGCCGTTGGAGGAGGAGGGTTGAATCTGAACAATCCATATGTGGACGCATTACCAACCCTTTTCCCAAATATAATCAAGGAGTTTTCAGATTGGTACATGTATAAAAGAAAGTACCTTCATCAAGAATCTCACTTAAATCCAAGATGAGAGAGAACACAACATTAGCCACTGGCATGGTCTCATTGCTGCTTTTATTCTCCTCCATGCCCATTTGTCAAGCAAAGCTAGGTTTGGGTGAACCAAAAGTGAGCTGCATTGAATTCTACTTACACGACCTCCTTGTCGCAGAGAAGCCTACGGCAGTGATCGTGGCCGAAGCCAACACGGCAAAAGCCTCGCCCACTCTCTTTGGCGAGGTTGTCGTTGTAGACGACCCCTTGACTAAAGGGCCGGAGCTCACATCCAAGGTTATTGGTAAGGCGCAAGGCCTGTATGCTTACTCATCCCAAAGTGAGCTCAGTTTGATCGAGGGCATGAATTTTGTATTCACAGATGGCAAGTTCAATGGTAGCACTCTCACTGTGATGGGGAGGAACCCAGTTCTGCATAAGGTGAGGGAGTTGTCGATTAATGGAGGTAGTGGAGTTTTCCGCCTGGCTCGTGGCTACATTCTTAAACAAACCTACTCCGTGGATTTAACAACTCAGAATGCTGTAGTCCACTACAATGTAACCGTTCTCCACTACAGAGGAATTCTCATTTCTATCTCATTTTTGAATGATTCTATGCGAAGAAAATTTCCTTGTGTTGTTTTAACATGAAAGCTGTTTCCCTTTGAAGCAAAACCTTTGTTTGAGAGTGCCATGCTACTGTAATATGTGTGGTTGGGCATATGGAGTGATTAAAGGAAACTAGGGTCCATGTCTATCATACATGAAGGAAGGTATTGCTTGTGCATATAGTGCTGATGTAATTGGATCAAACTAGACTCCAAACTGGTTTGGTCCAATGAAACCCAGATCTTAAGAGCACATTTGAATTTTGTAATTTTCGCACTAAATCCCCTGATTTTCTTTTTAACTGGTTTTCATCCAACAGGTTTGAGAACTGGTTAGACCCCTAATTTATTTAGATTGGACACCTTACAGTTTCCCGTCCAATCCAGATTTGAAAACAGAGGTGCAGATACAAAGGTGATGTAGTGCAGTAATTAGTAATTTAGTACCAAATTTCATATTCATACAATTTGTATAAAAAACACTAAAAATAAAAATACTTTGAGACATCGGATTTAAGATCAAACGGTGAGTGGCTCTCTTGATCAAAATTGGACGTCTGGATGGAAGTGGAAGCATAGATCTTCTATGCTATAGGGGAAGTATAGAAACATTTCCCATATTATAATAGCTTATTTGACCGTCGATTTCACCTTGAAAATAAGTGTTTACAGATCCATAAGATCTGTAATATTTTTCGAGCTTCAAATTTCATAATCAATAGTGGAATTGATGATCTAGACAATTTGTTACAATATACACTAGTTTTAGAGCTTGAAATCTTTTTTAATTTTCACAACCATAATATTCAAGCCGAGATGATCGATATAAAGGTTTTTCAATGCTTGAATTGTAATTTTCAATGAGTTATGAAATGAAGCTTTACTTATTTTAATAGAGGGCAGGCCTATCAAACATTTGAAGACTTTACTTCTTCTTTTTTCCAATAAGGCTTAGGCCATATAGAAAGTGTATCCTTTATTTCTTTTATATATCGTCCATATTGTTGTTACTTTTCAAAACTAGACATAATGTCTTGCATAAAACTATTTCTTTCAAAGTTGTTCATAAGATCGATCAACGCCGATATGAAAATATTCAAATAAAAACAAAAATCCACTAGAAACAATTTTAAATTAAAAAAATATACAATGAAACCATTTGTCTTTGGTACAAGGCAATTACAATTAACCTTGACCATTAGATGTAAAATTAAATTGTTGTATTTTTTACATTGACCAAGCTCATATTTCAATAGTAATTTTCAAACTTCAACTAGTTGCCAATTAGTATGAAAAGATGCACGAAGACCAATTGGTATGAAAATAGTCCCACATTTGACCGCAAGAAAGAATTTTTTCATGTCAAAATATTTTCTAAAAAATATTTTCACGCCAACCAAACACGCCTTCTAATCTCCTCTAAATTCCATTGTTGAAGTTTCATATTAAATTTTCAATCAAAATTGGTCCACTCCCTACTAGATGGGGGAGGGCAAGATGGTCAAGAAAAGTGTTATACACCTAAATAGGGGTGGCAATGGACCTAGACTCGACGGGGGACCCACCGGGTAAACCCGACGTGGGTCCGGGTATAGGTCCAACATTTGGACCCGACGGGTCGGTCCGGATTCAATACCTGGACCTGAACACTATTCCGGTATGGGTTTGGGACTGGTTGGACTCGACCTGTACCTGTTCCATACCTATAAATATTTGGAGTAAAATACTTTAAGCCCTATTCGTTTAGGTGTATTAAAGAACATATACAATAAGAACTTGTAGTCATCTTTAGCTATTAAATGGCAAATCAGACAGCTTAAAATATAATGGTGGGAAACTTTGACCTTGTTGCTGATAATATGAGTATATGATGGTAAAAAAAATGGCACATCAAAAAGAAAAAGAAAAAGAAAAAGAAAAAGAAAAAGAAGAAGCTTATAGTGTGAGTGGCAATGGATATGACTAGACTCGTGACCCAATAGGTATGGGTATGGGTCCAAATTTTGGAACCCACAAGTCGGGTCTAAGTCCAAAACTTGGACCTGAATGCTATTCAGGTCTGGGTCCTGGTCCAGCCGGACCCGACCCATTGCCATCCCTACACCTAAAGGCTTCGATGCTGAAGGCATTGCCATATAATTCCTTGTAAAATAAGGAATAAAATAACAACACATCAAAGTCAACGAAAGATATAATAAGTAGCATATCCCAAATCAAATGAAGGTTTCCCCAAATATTTGAACGGTAATTCCAAGTGAAACAATTGCAAGATCATCACGCCATCCACCAACCTAACCTGGCAATAAGGTTTTTCCCAATTTGTTTTTTCTTTTTTTTTTAACAGAAGGTTTTTCCCAGATATTGCCATGGAGTTTTCAGACTGGGCCACGTAGAAAACAAACTACCTTCATCAACAATCTCATTGAATCCAAGATGAGAGGGAACGCAGCAAGAGCCACCGGCATGACCTCATTGTTGCTCTTCTTCTCCTCCATGCCCATTTGTCAAGCACAGGTAGACCTAGGTGAACCAAAAGTGAGCCGCTTCGATTTCTACTTACATGACCTCCTTGTCGCAAGGAAGCCTACGACAGTGACCGTGGCGAAAGCCAACATGATAAACGCCTCTCCCACTCTCTTTGGCGAAATCGTCGTTATTGACGACCCCTTGACCGAAGGACCTGAGCTAACATCCAAGGTTATTGGTAAGGCACAAGGCATGTATGCTTTCACATCCTAAAGTGAGCTCAGTTTGTTTGAGGCTCTCAATTTCGTATTCACAGATGGCAAGTTCAAAGGTAGCACTCTCACTGAGTTGGGGAGGAATCCAGTGCTGCATAAGGTGAGGGAGTTGTCAATTATTGGAGGTAGCGGAGCCTTCCGCCTCGCTGGTGGCTATGTTATTAAACAAACCTACTCCGTGGATTTAACAACTCAGAATGTTGTAGTTCACTACAATGTAACCGTTCTCCACTACTGAGGAATTCTCATTTCTATCTCATTTTTTAATGATTCTATGACTGATGAAAATTTCCTTGTTGTTTTAACAATGTTGTTTCACTTTGAAGCAAAGCCTTTATTTGAGAGTGCCATGCTACTGTAATATGTGTGGATGGGCCAATGTTCGCAAAATCTAACTAGACATGGGTCTGGAAGCGGTTTAACCAGTCTAACCAGTAAACTAGTGAATTCAACCGCTCTAACTGAGCAAATCCCGAGCGGTCAAAAAAGTGTTGAAAAAATTAGAAAATATACAAAAAAAAAATCTACTAAACTACGAAAAGCATATAAAGAATTATTAAAACAAAACACATTCAAATGAAGTTGAAAATTATTGAAAAAAAATAGATTTTAACCCATTTTATATTTTCCAATGGCTATTTTTAAATTTTCTAAAAAAGTTGGGAAAATATCAAAATGAGTATTAATGACCAAAACAACTTTTAATCTTTACCATAATGTAAAGAATATTTAAAAATGTAGTACAAATCCAATCTTATTTTTGAGAATTTATATACATTTTTTTGAATTTTTTTTTTAAAATACCGGTTGATCACCCTAACCGCTCAAAACCATAACCGATCATCGGTCAGTTCCGATCTAATTGAGCGGTTAGCGGTTAGATCGGGCGAGTTTACGAACAATGGGATGGGCGTATAGAGTGATTAAACTGAAACATTGAATGGTGTCAATTGTTCATTATAAATGACGGTTGATGAATCAAACTGTCTATCATACATGATAAGGAAAGAGAAATAAATATTAGAAAAGGGACCTTGATGGTTTGAATATCCATGTAGTAATGGACTTACAATCCAACGGCCTGTGTTTGCACGGGTAGGACAGATATTCTTGTTGTAATAAGAAAACCAAGCAAAAGAAGTAGTAGCATATTTTGCTCCGTTGGGCAGGCGTCCATTTGTTAAATTCCTTTCCTGGTGTAGTGCGTGGAAGCTCTAAACCCGACGGGTTGAAGTTTTTTTGACAAATAAAGTATGAAAAATAAAACATAATACACATACTAAAAAAATATAAATATTTACGTGATTCACCCTAAAATGGCTATATCCACAGGCACGGCAAACTGAAATCCACTAAATGAAAGTTACATCAAAGATTTTGGAACATAGAATCAAATCCTTTTAAACTGTTCTTCCTTCCTTCTCTTTACTTTTGACAACCATTATCGACAACACCAGATAGAGAAGTGATAGCAACGAGAAACTGACTTTTTGGATTTCTATTTTATTTAGGAAACTTATTAATATCAATATCAATCCCACATAATATGGGAAATATCTCAATCTTTATCATCAACACCAGATAGAGACCCGAGAGCAACGACAAACTGACTTTTTGAATTTCTATTTCATTTAGGAAACTTATCAATATCAATCTCAATCCTTCATAATATGAGAAATATCTCAATCTCCCATAATATAGGAATATCTCAATCCCACATAATATCAGATTTCTTTATGTGAGTGATTTTGGATAGCACCAAATCCAACAAACTCCACCTTCATATCAAAATCACTGGTTAACCATGCCAACATCCATTGGATAACTTTATGGATTTTTAATCTTTTGCCCAATAAATTTCTTCATCATTCTGCTGAAAAATAGTATTTACTATCAAATTTCTCCACCTCGAAATTCACATTCAAAACTTTTACTGCCATATCAAAAACCCCAAACCAGGGCTCTGATACCACTTGTTGTACGCGGAAGCTCTAAACCCGACAGGTTGTTTTTTTTGGCAAATAAAGTATGAAAAATAAAACATGAAACACATACCACAATAACACAAAGATTTATATGGTTCACCCCAAAATATATATCCACGGGCACGTCAAATTGAAATCCACTATACCAATAAAAGTTACATCAAAGATTTTGGGAAATAGAGTTACCTCCCTAAACCTTGACTAACAAACCCAAGTCGAGCAATTTTAAACCACTCTCCTTTCATTCTCTTTTCTTCTGGAAACCATTACCGACAACACTAGATAGAGACGCGAGAGCAAAAAGAAACTAACTTTCT